GCGCGCGCGTGTGTGTGTGTGTGTGTGTGTGTGTGTGTGTGTGTGTGTGTGTGTGTGTGTGTGTGTGTGTGTGTGTGACATGTACACAAATAAACAGCACAGAAACGGGGGTGAGAGTAGACGAAGGCCAAGGAGAAAGTTTATACAAGCGCCTCAAGATACTCTCTAAGGCTGGAGTTTCTGTTAGGCTGCCGCAGTTTACGTAATGCTTTGCTCTCAATCTGTCGGATTCGCTCCCTTGTGACACTGAAATGCTGCCCAATCTCCTCCAGTGTCCTCATTTTTCCATCATCAAGCCCATAGCGCATGCGCAGGACCTCCATCTCTCGTGCTGAAAGCGTCTTTAAAATGTTATCAATATCACCCTTCAGCAGTCTCTTTGTCGTCTGCTCCTCTGGAGACTCTGTGTCTGATTCAATCACATCCTGCACCCATACATAATTCAATGTGCTCAGCAAGATAGCCAACTCAGAGTTAAATGTGCTCAGAAGATTGCCAACTCAGAGCTAAATGTGCTATGAGGATAGCCAGCTCAGCGTTGACTGGGCTCCAGAGATTAGCTACGCTGCCCACACTGTGAATCAATCCTCCTCATCAATCATTCCAGCAGATGCACTTGCACACACAAGGGGCACCTGGATTTCTCACCCTCAGTCACTCCCATGACATGAATGGAAAGTTTGGAAACGCAAAGTGAGCATGTCTTCCTCAAGACAAAGTTATGCAAACAGACAGCGATGGCAAAAACATACACAAAGCGATGGAGGAAAGTGGAAAGGGGAAAGAGGGAAGAGAGCGATAGAGGAAAGAGAGAAGAGAGAGAAAAGGAGCAGGAGACGGAGATAGCACACGTGAAAAAAAAAAGCCATGTAGAGAGACCCAGTAGGCGCAAAGAGGAGTACCAGACACATAGTAAAATGAGAGTGTAGAAACGAGTGCCATGCTGGCATGGTCCCAACCTGGAGTAGGAGAAAGTTCTGCAAGATGCTCGATATAATATATATATATATATATAGGGTTCAGCCTCCTGATGAGTCGGTGAAACTCCGACGAAACAGTTTGTCACAGCCCCTCGTTTGTTGTCCTCTTCTCTCTCTCTGCCTACGGTTTACCGGGCAGTTCTATTTGTGACGATATATATATATCGTCAAAAACAGAACTGCCCGGTAAACTGTAGGCAGAGAGAGAGAGAAGAGGACATATATATCGTCACAAACAGAACTGCCCGGTAAACCGTAGGCAGAGAGAGAGAGAGAAGAGGACAACAAACGAGGGGTTGTGACAAACTGTTTCGTCAGAGTTTCACCGACTCATATATATATATCGTCACAAACAGAACTGCCCGGTAAACCGTAGGCAGAGAGAGAGAAGCGGACAACAAACGATATATCGTCAAATAGAACTGCCCGGTAAACCGTAGGCAGAGAGGGAGAAGAGGACAACAAACGAGGGGCTGTCACAAACTGTTTCGTCGGAGTTCATATATATATATATCCATCTTGCAGACAAATTCGGACAAATGTGAAAAGCATCACAATTTTGGAGGATGATATTCCCAAGATTGAAGATTCTCGATTGTTTCCATAACGTGGTTCATGAAAGCAGCTGGCCATATCACAAGTTAGCATGCTGACACGACCTAGAAAAGTAAAAAAAAAAAAAGAAAAAAAAAAAGGTGTAAAACAGTAACAGTAAGTTGTAACTTGTAAAACACAATCCATGAAAGTTCAAAAGCTGCTGCATTCAGTTTGTCCAAGCAGAGTGGAATGGTCCCTAGACAGACCCCAATGCGAGTATCACGGAACCTAGACTACAACCAAGGAAGATGCGAGACGTTAAGAAGGAAGACATGAGATGTTATCGAGTAGAAAATGTGAAAGGACATGGACCACAAAGCAGCAGGACGACGAAAATTGTGATGGTCTTCACATGTCCGAATCTGTCGGAACACACTCACACAAGGCCATCCTTCTTTTGCTGAGCAGGTTTACAAAATACCTCAAGGAGCTATGACAATATTTTGGGAAGACTGTCCTTCGGTACATGCATTAAAATTGGAACGATACAGAGAAGGGTAATTAGCATGGCCCCTGCGCAATTAAGGATGACGCACATAAATCGACAAACGGTCCCTTTGCAGACGAGTTAGAAACGGAACGGGGCGTTGTAAGCAGTCGAGTGGCCTTGTCGTCAAAATCTGTTGAGAGAGGGGGGGGCAGGGGGAAGAAAACAAAAAAAAAGAAAAAAAAGGAAAAAGAAAAGGAAAAAAAAAGAAGGGAAGATCATCCTCCAAAATGTTGAGACATAAAGAGTTCACAAAATCATAATACAGGGGAAAGAAAAACAGTGAGGGTCTTGATATAGGGTAGTGCGATGAAGGAATCACCAAACGTGAGGTTAGTGGCCAATTGGCCTCGCTCTGCTACACAGCATACTGAATGTATCTGGACGTCCTAGAGGTCCGATACATTCAAAATGTTTGAACAGTCAAAATGTACCTGGTCTGTGTGGCAGTCCAGATTCTTGTCGAATATTGAATAGTGGGACGAAGCCCACTATGAAAGAGCTGATCGTACACCATGGATAGGTGATACGTTGACAACAGAAAATACAGAGGGCGTACATGCAAGGCACACGTAACACAAAATATGGACGGCATACGTGCAAGGCACACGTAACGCAAATATGGAGGGCGTACGTGCAAAGGCACACGTAACACAAATATGGAGGGCGTACATGCAAAGGCACACGTAACACAAAATATGGAGGGTGTACATGCAAGGCACTGATACAGTATGCTCAGGACTAAGCATATGACACAGAACCTGTCAAAGGTTTGTTTGATGATGCATCTTTCAGCCTTCGACTGATTTCGATGATTGCTTGTACTTCCATGTTACTCAGGACTACGCTTGCCGGCGAACAAGGATCACTCCCGCAAAGAGGATTTGCAGTGGAGAGGAGGGTGCGTGGGAGTGTGGAGAGCACGGAGCAGAAGAATAGGTTCGCCCAACAGCATGGTTGTCCCACCAATCTATCTTTGATGCCAGGGCTTCGTCCATTTGCACTCGGATTCTGAGAGCGTACACACTAGCACTATCTTCAATGTATCTGACCAGATTTACAGCTGGACCTGTATGCATCTGGCCGCGATTCCGTCCAGGAAGAGGTAGAAAATCGGTGGTGCGAGCATATGCCCTGCACAGTGCAACAAAAAGGGGCTCAGGGGATTACTCACACTGGAGAGAGCATTTTCAATTCCGAGGTAGGGTGGGTGGGAGTGCAGAGACGAATGGGCCTCCTCCCAACAGCACTGGAAAGTTGGCTGGCAGTTAATGCTCGACTTAAAGGTGACAGTGCGGAATGCACATGGAGGCTTCGACTTGTTTTCTATCAGCTGCCACATCTCCATTCTTGCATTCACCTTTCCAGGCAACACCGCGGTCTGCTCGACACCCTTCGAGACGTCATTGCCATTCTCGCCGGCTTTTTAAGGGTGGCATATACCGAATGGTGGTGGTTCTCTCAACTGCGTACAACACACTTCCCATCCCCAGCTCTCAATTTTGACCTCTTCTACAGGTGTAAGAAAAACAGCACATTTTTTTTTAAGGATCGCTGGACCTGGTTTCCAGGTGTAGACATTGAGACTGAATAGCGCTTCAACAGGGGTAAAGCGGTCGTTAAGCGGACTTAAGGACTTAATCGTTCCCACAGAGGAAGGCAGGCATCAATAGGTTTGTAGGTGACTGCTGTGTTGTAGGTCTAGGGAAGTCGGGTAGAAGTAGGCAGAGGCCGACAAGTTTTCAGTTTTTTTCCTCTTTTTTTTTTTGGAAGTGGCGACGGGAGTACGTGAGCCATCATCTTCTTCTTCACCTTCTTCTTCACGGTGGTTTGCAGCGCTGCGACTTGATATCTGGCTCATGCCAGATCAGCACCTGTACTCACAGGCTCGTGGCATGATGGGATGCTGTTTTCAACAGTGGGCTATCATTCGAGGCTGGGAATCGTGTAGGGAGAAGGGGAACTTTCACTGGGACTTCGTTGAAGTGTATTGTTGGGGGTTAATTGGAGGTGGAACAGATTTTGTGGTTGAGATTCCTGGAGTTGTTCGATTGAGAGGAGGAGATCAGGGGGTGTGATCTAATAAATAATTTGATTGAAACATTTTTTATTTTTCTCTCAAGTTTTATCTGGTTTTGGCTTCCGCTGCGCAATCTCTCTCCATGGCTATGGTGTGAATCTGCTCTCTCCAGTCTGCCTGTCATTGCAGATGTGCATGGGAACATTTGAATGCGGTTTCGAGTTGTGATGTGAATCAATCGAGCACATAACCGTGCATTGGTCGTCTTTTTGCGAAAATTCGCTCGCTGCTGCGTGGGATCAGTGGATTCCTATTCTCACCGGATGGGATCATGGTCAACGTTTTGCGAAAATTCGCTCACTGCTAGGTGGGATCAGTGGATTCCTATTCTCACTGGATGGGATCATATTTCTTCCAAAGGCGTAAGTATGAAAAGCGACCCAGGTTCGCTTGGTCTGAATGGAACTGTGAGCAGGTAGATACCTGTTCAGATCACAACAGACCCTGATGAGTGGGTGAAGTGCCTGTTGAATACTGCGGGACCCGTTCTCGAGCGATGAGGCGATGCGCTCGAGTCGCAATGAGAGCGTTGTCGAAATGTCGGTACGAATACCTTTCTCGGCCTTTTGGCTAAGTAAGATCAAGTGTAGTATCTGTTCTGATCAGTTTAATATCTGATCTGTGGTCAATCGGCCCATTACGATATTTAAAAAAAAAAAAAAAAAAAAAAGAGAGAGAGAGAGAGAGATGTCGCCGTCATGTCGGTACGAATATCGCAGGGCCTGTTATCAAGTGGTGAGGTGATGTGTTCAAGTCGCAATGAGAGAGTCGTGGAAGTGTGGTCGGTAAAAAAAGTTGTTTTTGTAAGTTGAAGTCTCCTTTGAATTTGAAACAACCAAAGGATTCTAGTCCCAAGGGTTAGGATTAGGAAAGTATGGGATTGTTGATTAAAAAGAACGCGGCAGGTAGAACCGTAAAAGTGCTGCAGTTCTTCAGGTCACGAGTCCGAATTCATGTTGAAAGTAGGACTTTGTGGTACATGCAGTGGACTTGGTCTGATGGCGGTGAGGCCGGAAGTTTCTGGGTTTTTAGAAGTTGTCGGCCGCAGATTTTTTTCGTACAAGGCCTTTGGTTAGAATTGTCCTGTGTGAACGAGTTAGCGACTTCCTGTTATCTCGGCATTTTCTTGGAAATCCTAGTCGTTGATTTGAATCAACATTTCAGGAAACTACATTTAGTCTCTACACAGGATACAAATAGGTTATCGAAGACGACTCAGTTTGCTAGAGTTCTGAGGCTGTTCGCTCAACTGAATACAGCACACTCGCTGCCCTGTTTTCTAGTTCCGCAGTTTAGCCTCTGTAAGAGCAAAGGATGGAGAGCAGTCCGAGGATCGAGCACTGGGGAAGGACTGGGAACAACACACGTTATCACCGATGACAACTCACCTCGAGTTTCTTCGAGTCATCATTGCCGATTGGCTTTTCAAGAGAAACTGGCATCCGAGCCGCTTTCAGAATCGCATGAAGCTTTTGGACGCTCATTCCCGCGGATGTTGCGACTTCCTCGTCCTTTGGGGGATGTCCATTCTTCTCTGTCAATTGCTTCCTTGCTTTGTTGATCCGCGCTAACAACTCATAAAGGTGCACCTAAACATTCGAGGGAGAAAATAAAAAAAAGGAAAAAAACATAAAGAAAACCACAAGAAGACGGCAAAAAATCGTACCGGTTTCAGTACCTTGCTTATTAACATGCACAGTCGGTGACAAAGGAAGCAACGAAAACACACACCAGAAGAGGTGGAACTATGGTCCCATTCTCCCACAGAAATATACAAAACGCAACTGCAGTACACCACAAAACACTGCAAGTCAACCGCAACGTACAAGCAAGGTGCTCCTACTGCTTGCTCTCCTCAACGCCAATTCAAAGTCGAGATGTCCGAGCACGAAGATCTCCCTCACAACCAACAGTGACCACAGAGCCGTCCGCTTCCCTAAACATCAGTGTCAAAATCTCCTAACCATGAGGACTAGCCTCCTGATTTCGGCAGCGGAAAAATCGGACAGGTAGCCGCACCTCCTTTCATCACAAAAAAACTGGAACTAACACCTATAACTCATAATCTTTGAGATTCTGACTTAATGCAGACATCATCGCATCAACCAAGCAGTTGTCCCTTTTCTTCCCTCCATAAAGCTCCTCTTTTCCCTTCATTCTTTCTCCTGCCACGATACAGACAGTCACATCACACACACACACACACACACACACACACACACACACACACACACACACACACACACACAAGAGAATCCAAAAGCCACAGCACCATTCTAACCTGGGAAGCATCACGCCAGTTCAAAATCCACCGCCCTTGTTTAAACGGGGTAGCCCGTAACAATATTGCATCCATCGGACTTGGTCAGGATTCAAACTCCTGGTCTGTTTATGAACAGATGCATGTGTGTCCCCTTCAGCCAGACAGGCTCGATCGGTTCAACAGCAACTCCTTTTTTTTTTCAAAAGGGCAACGGCGTTGAGATATCATAATCGACCTTGCCCACCCAAGTACTTTAGAACTATGTTATTTCATTCATCCAATGGGATTCGAACTTCGGTCTGTATTGCAACAGTTGCTGTGTGTACCGACTGAGCTACACCAGTTCCATAGCCATTGCTGGTTACGACACTATCCAAAATTTATGGCCTATGCCGCTTACCCCCTCTATACCACCTCCCGTCACCTCAGCCAATAACCCTGTTGACACACTCTCCTCTCCATTGCTCTTTCTCTCTCAAGAAATTGATCATGGTGCTTTGGGGGAAAAAAAAAAAGAGCCTGGCACTTCGACCAAGACCTCACTTTTGTATTTCCTGTTCACCGTAAGCTGTGAAACCGCGCACTGATTGAGCGTGCGGTCGGCGCTCAAGGATTTGAGAGCCGCTCAAAAGCGCGCTCACAGCGCGCTTGAGCGGGGTTTGAGCGGGCGCGGGAATGTTTTTTTCCCGAGCAAAAAATAAGATTTTTTTTTTTTTTTGATTTGGCCCGGCCGGGAAAGTGGCCTCGGGCCACTCTGGCAGCCTAAGTGAAAAATATATACATATCGTCAAACAGAGCTATATCTATCGTCAAACAGAGCTGCCCGGTAAACCGTAGGCATATATAGGGTTGCAGATCTTTTTGAGATCTACAACCCCATGTTTTTATTTTTATTTTTTGAAGTTTCGCTATATTTAAAAAAGTCAAAAACTGAGAAAGAAAGATAAAAACAAGATCTTTTGGAGATCTACAACCCTATATATATTTTTGAATTTCGTGGAGAGAGAGAGAGAGAGAGAGAGAGAGAGAGAGAGAGAGAGAGAGAGAGAGAGAGAGAGAGAGAGAGAGAGAGAGAGAGAGAGAGAGANAGAGAGAGAGAGAGAGAGAGAGAGAGAGAGGCATCGCCACACCACTCTCGGAATGTGACAAAGACAAAAATGTGTCGGGTGCATCTGGCCATGTTCCAGGGGGAAGTTCATTCTCATTTTGCACATTTCGAGAGTGGTACGGTGGCCAACATTTTGAAGATGCGGGTTGAAAGAGAGAGAGAGAGAGAGAGAGAGAGAGAGAGAGAGAGAGAGAGAGAGAGAGAGAGAGAGAGAGAGAGAGAAACAGAGCTGCCCGGTAAACAGTAGGCAGAGAGGGAGAAGAGGACAATAAACGAGGGGCTGTGACAAACTGTTTTATATCGTGAGTCGGTGAAACCCTAAAACCCTGATGAAACAGTTTGTTAGATGAGTCGGCGAAACCCCGATAATATACAGGGGTTTACTAAATCGTAAAATAGGAGGCTTTGACGTCTTGTTATCAGATATGCCTGCATGTTTGTGCATGTTTGTGCATGTTTTTGCGTGTTTTTGCCTGTTTATGCATGTTTGTGCATTTTTTGTGCATGCTTGTGGTAACTTTGTGCATGTTTTTCTGTAAAATTGCTGCCAATGTGATCCATGCTGTGTCAAGTATGAGCCTCACTTGTACAGAAAGTGCTACTGCCTCTCAAAAACGCATTGGGTACACATAATATACGGCACATGATCTCACTACGCAACAAGACATAAGATTGGATGATAAAAGAGAAAGACATTTATCACAAATTGAGTTAAACCACCAGTACACGAGCCTATTTTCGACAAGTTTTGGTCTACCTCCGAACTTTCAGGAGGCTGAGCCCGCCGTTGATAAATCTGATCGGCGGCCGTCGTTTCGTTTCGGCCTCCTGAAAGGTCGGAGGCTGAGTATTTTCGAACCGACAAAGGTACTAGTGGTTTAAGTCGTTTTACTCTTTTAAAAAACTACGGTACATTCTTCACGCATACACCTCACTCTACCTAACCTCTTGCCTAAGTCCAGTTTTCGAGTTCTTGATTGTTGCAGCATATCTATGCAGCGTGCACACAAGAGGGGCGCCCCTGGGTTGGCACCGACCTCCTCCCGTGTCTAAGCACCGCAGCTTCTTCCTAATCCCGAGCAATGGATGGGAGGGAACGGCAAACCCTAACAAGCCCTACCAGGGAGGGGCAAGCCGATCAGCTCAGCTGGTGAACCCGTAGCGAGCCGCAGGAAGCTGTCAGGTTGAAAGAAAGCCATGTCACTGATGCAGTGAATGCAAAAGGTGGGATCGAAGATGTCACGCAGATTTGTAAACAGCAACCCTTGGCCAGAAAAGTGGGCAGCAAAAGGTCCCACTGAACTTCCTTCAGCATGTACTACTGTCTTCCCCCAAACATAACACACCCTGATCATGCATGCATAAAGCTATCTTTCCGGTCTGGTACAGTTCAGGAAAAGAAGGCAGTAGGTTCGAACTCTTGCAAAGGGGTTAAGGGTAGGATCACTCACAGGTAGCCGGATTGTTCTCGATTGATCGGCAATTGATCGTGCTACAGCTTGTCTGATCCACCAGTGAGCATAAGTCGAAAATTTGAAGCCCTTCCTGTGATCGAACTTCTCGACTCCTCGAATCAAGCCCATGCTGCCTTCCTGCCCACAATTTGCGCGTTCACAAGGTGCAAGAAAATGGAGGAGAAGATGCAGAGCCATGGGGGAACAAGGAGCAATAGAAAGAGGGAAGCGAGAGAGCCAGACAAAGACGGCCATAGCCAAGGAGGCAGAATGCAGTGGCCATGACCGGATAGCAGGCATGGAAAACGTGAGGCAGGTCCAAGATCTGTTCATGCATCCTGAAGATTATCGCTAGAACTGTTCTCGCATTTATTTAATTGACTATGAGAGTGAGAGGTTCACACCCATGACGGTTGCTCAACAATATACAAGTTACAGTTTTGAAACAAGAAAAGAAAAAAAGAAAAAAAAAGAAGAAGAGGAGGTACAAGACTGTAATCTCAGGAATTTGAAGTCACGAATTGTTTGTGAACAATTGCACCTTGCATGTGTGTACTCCTCAGCAACGCGGCGGACAAAACGAGTTTTATAATTTGAAAACTGCTGTGAAGTTGTGTGAACAACAATTATTTCAATAACTAGATGACCTGTTGCGGCTTCCGGCGCAAAAGCAAAAGGAGTTATCACCATATCAGCACATTCATGGCAGTTTATCATGCGCAAAAGAATTATTGTTTTTTCACAAGCAAATGCCGAGGAGCAGAAGTGACCACATGAATGCTTTGCTGAAAGTTCCTGAAAACACTGTATTTTACTGCAGTAGCACTCTTTCTTGGATGGCAGCTGCCAGACAATCCGACCCACTGTGACTCTCTCTCTCTCTCTCTCTCTCTCTCTCTCTCTCTCTCTCTCTCTCTCTCTCTCTCTCTCTCTCTCTCT